AAACCTGGGCTTCCATACCACCTCAGCAGTGCCACAAACTGATCACCTCCATGCCACGCCGAATTGAGGCAGTAATTAAAGCAAAAGGAGCCCCTACCAAGTATTGAGTACATGTACAGTAAATGAACATACTTTCCAGAAGGCCAACAATTCACTAAAAATGTTTTTTTTATTGGTCTTAAGAAGTATTCTAATTTGTTGAGATAGTGAATTGGTGGGTTTTTGTTAAATGTGAGCCAAAATCATCACAATTAAAAGAACCAAAGACTTAAACTACTTCAGTCTATGTGCACTGAATTTATTTAATACACGAGTTTCACAATTTGAGTTGAATTACTGAAATAAATGAACTTTTCCACGACATTCTAATTTATTGAGATGCACCTGTAGAGACACCCAGACTCGTTAGGGCATCTAGTATGCTCAGTCATTTTTCATGCAGAAATTTACCTAATGGAAGTCATTCCCAGTGAGACAGCATGCGTCAATGCCCTGGGCGTCTGACTATGAAGAGCTGTGCTTCAAACTCCAGTCCATCTGATCTTTGCTTGATCATTTATCTACGTTGACCTCAAACTAATCAGCGATTGAGTCATCAGACCTCAGCTCGCAAGCTTCCCATCTGCTTATCACTGAACGTTTCTCTGAGCCGCATTCTTTAATTAGGATTAAGAAAATGCCACAAGTTTTCATATGTTAGCATTATACACTATTATACACGTCTTCATACTGTATAGAGCATATCTTTTTTTTAACAACTAACAACTACTTAATTCAAAAGAAGTACCTCCCTCAGAGAATATGCAATTTTGAATGCAGCCCCTTTTGTTAATTTGAACATTTACTAATGCATTTTTAAAATCAAAAGTTGTATCTGGTAACATTAGTTATTGCACTGTTAACTAACTTGAACAAACAATGAAGAAATGTGTGTTTTATTAATTAAAGGGTTAGTTCACCCAAAAATGAAATTCTGTCATTAATTACTCACCCTCGTGTTGTTCGAAACCCGTAAGACCTTCGTTCATCTTCGGAACACAATTTAAGATATTTTTGATGAAATCTGAGGGCTCTCTGACCCGCCCATAGACAGCAAGGTAACTACCATGTTCAAGGTCCAGAAAAGTACCAAGATGATCGACGAAGTAGTCCGTGTGACATCAGTGGTTCAACTGTAACGTTACGAAGCTGCGAGAATACTTTTTTGCGCAAAAAGAAAACAAAAATAACAACTTTGAAGGTAGGCGGCCTACATACATGCACAGATGGACCAGACATGATACAAAAATGTACAAGCACAAACTTTGTCACTAATGTGAAAAGAGTGTTAGTTAGTTGCTTATTTTGTATTTTTCTACTGAGCGTTATTTTAGTATTATTGATGTAGTATTATAGTATTTTTTTATTTTACATTTTCAGTTTTCATTTTACATTTAGTTGAAGTTTTAGTGGAACAAAAACGATTTAAATGGCCTCAGTTTTTCAATGGTTTTTAATGGTTATATTTAGTTTAGTGCATATGTGTGTTTGTGTATATATTTTGTTTCAAATTGTAGTACCTGCAAAGAATTAGTTACCATTAAAGGGTTAGTTCACCCAAAAATGAAAATTCTGTTAGTTCAACCACTGATGTCACACGGAATTTGTCGATCATCTTGGTACTTTTCTGGACCTTGAACGTGGTAGTTACCTTGCTGTCTATGGGCGGGTCAGAGAGCCCTCAGATTTCATCAAAAATATCTTAAATTGTGTTCCGAAGATGAACATGTCTTACGGGTTTGGAACAACACGAGGGTGAGTAATTAATGACAGAATTTTCATTTTTGGGTGAACTAACCCTTTAACATTAACAAAGATTAATAAATGCTGTAAATTATATTGCTCATTGTTAGTTCATGTTAAGTAAAGGGGCCATTGTAAAGTGTTACCATTATACAAGTTTTTTAATGCAGTTTTTTCTTAATAAATGAAAATAAATCTAACATTATAATAAATTAATTGACAACAAATATAATTAAATTATAATAATAATACATATATGTTATATGTTATAGACAAACCTAAGAAAAAAGATAATATCTTTTCATAAAATGTGAGTTTTATGGGAAAGGACAGCAATGCTCTTTTCAGCTGCCCATAGCTGTTGCGGGTGCAAGATAGTGGTTTTGGCCGCAGTGATGAAGTCTGTGCCATTGTGTTCTGGCTGAGACATGGATCATTGGCAGCACTTTCCTGGCCTTAGGGCTGAGGCCCTATCACAGCACTAGTTGATCACAGCTGCACATTGCATCAGCATCACAAAATATTGCCGCAAACACACTGATAACAGGCCATTCTTCTGTTATGATTTAATTATGCTGCTTAAAATCTTGGGAAGTGTGAATTATGCAAGTGAAGCAATGGCATATTCTGTGTTTTATTTATTCTCTGAGCATAAACTGTCCCAGTTTATATTTGTTTGGATTGTTTTGTGGTTTTCATGGCATTCAGTATAAAAAAGTAGTGTGGTTTTCTGCAGAAACCATTTCCATGGCATACCAGCTGAGCAAATCAACTTTGAACTTTTTGAGTTTAAGACTATACTATAGGTTCTTTTTCTGTTTAGGAAGTTGTTGTTCCCTTTGGATCAGATCACGCTGCAGCAGATTAATCAAAATTTCAAAGCTCTCCTACTGACAGAAACGGAATAATGATATCTTGCAAACTTGAGATTTGAAATCTATAAAGTTTGAATGAGAAATATCTTCCTTTCCCCAAAGTTTGGTTTGAAGCGCAACTAACCATCATATGAATGTAGCTACAGGGAAACATTTGTCTCGTCTCTAACCTTGGGCTTTACAGAAGCACTGCTCTGGCACTAATCATTAAATCAGAGCAGAAAGAATCTCTGCTGCCTAAAGACAAACACAATGGGGGCAGCGCACTTTCCCTGAAATGTATCTAATGAATATACTCTTCTTAAACAGTCACATCTTTGTGTACTGTACACTTCATCTTCTGCTGCAGTGTTGAAGACATATCATTGCGCCACTGCTTTTGAATTTATAGTTACTTATGTTGCATGATTTCTGCAAAAACGCTCGGCAAGTGCTTGAAATCACAACCTTTTGACTCCATTATCCACAACCATATTCCATGGCTTTTACAGTTGTTCTAGTTGCTGTACTGTTTTTTTTTTTTAGCAAAAATATAAGCATATTAGAGAGTATTATAGAACTATAGCAATGTATATTCATTATAAAAATGCCCACAGAATTTTATGATTATATTAAATTAATTGACTTTTCCACATCTAGAAATCACACTATTAAAATTAGGCTTACTTATACCTCCAGATTATTCATGACATTTGTTTAGGAGGTGAATTAAAGTAAGTAAATAAATATCTCGCTTCTAATTGCTTTGTCTTATTGTAAATCATTTTCATCATCGTGAGGACCGCTTAGGTCCCTTCCCTCTGATTGAGTATATAAAGTATAATCTTTACTATGAATTTCATATACGTTTACAGATCAACAGTTACAAATGTGCATCAAACAGTATTTCAGAAATGTACTTCAATTACCTGTTGACGTTGTATTTATTTATAATTATTAAAACATATTTATTGCCTTAAGTTGCTTGTGTATTTATCTTTTTTTTCATTCCCATAAACTATTGATTTGTTGATGCTCACAAAAATAAAACCGCTTCCTCTATATACAAATTAATTTATTCAAAGATAAACTATTGATTTGCTGTCTTAACCTGCTGTTCCAAAGTAGCGGGGATGAGGTTAAAATGAAAATGCGTCAGAATAGCAGAAGCTGCTAAATATATAATTAGTATGACTGGAATGAGTTTAACTGGTTTATGTATGACTGAGAAAAAAAGTAGACTAGAGCGCTGTATATTATCGACTAACATTTTAGAAGTGGCTGCTCCCTAGCGGTGACAAGTAGAATCACACAGCACAGAATCTGAGCGCTAAATGCTGTCCTTCTGGATACAGTTACACTCTCTACGCAATATTTACAGGTACATTCTTCTTTTGAGATCTTACAGCTGCTTCACAGACATCATATTGTTTAAACACTTCTTTATAGTCCCATAGTTCACTCCAATTGCATCATAAGATGTTCTCAAAGGGATAATTCACCCAAACATTAACAGTGTCATCAGTTCTCTCATTTCTACTGAAAACTGTAGCAGAATGTCCAAAATGGCACACTCCACAGAACGAAAGATTTGCAGAAGTTTCCACTTCGAATGGATGACTTGAGACAACTTTGAACAATGTGCACAAGTTGGATATTTTGATGCACTATTATAATGCTTTTTAGAGTATGACAGCTCATCCCCATTTACTTTCACTGCATGGAAAAGAGCAGCTCAAACATTCTGCTAAACATCGGCTCATGTTATGGAAGAAAGATCGGAAAGATCGAGTAAAAATTGAAGGGCGCACACACAAATATATAACTCTTATATATTCCACAACAGATTTTCCTTGAATATTCGTTCAGCTTTGACAATTAAAATCCCAACACCCCACAAAAACAACGAAAAGCACATACAGAGGTGAACATTGTGCACATGAAAAGACCTAAGTATATAAACTTAATAAAGTACAATATAAACTTTACTACTACTGATAAAATGCCATTGTGGGGACAGTACAATAAAGTGAGTTCTCTAAATTAAATCTTAAAAGAAATATCGTTTATATACTACAGAAAATCAACAATGACTGAAGACATTTAAAATGCCACTTATACAACGAGCAATAAATTAGTCACAAAATACTCTTTCTAAAACATCCAATCTGTTAGATCACATACTTTTTAAAAATTCATTCGAGAAAAACTTTTGTGCCTCTTACACCGATTACAAACCTGAGCAGCATTTTCCCCCATTGACAGACAGTAACACAGCTCAAAAGCTGCAGTGTTACTATTAGATAAAAAATAATAATTTCATAATCACCCAAAAGCAATCAGCACTGTCACACTGAAACATCACAAGGGTGGAGATTTAAAAGGCAAAAATGGAAAATAAGGTGGAGTGAATAAGTAATAGGGGAGATGACAGACACTGTAAAGTTTCTTTTCTTTTTACCAGTGTCGGGAGTCAACCAGCTCTGGGCGTAAGCTGAGCTTTTTGAGAGTTTCATAACCGACTACCATGACTATTGCTGTGGGCGCTGAGGCTATGATGCGAGCAGAGAGGCCTTTGGTCATCCCCCAGAATCCCTCTTCTCTGATCAGCTGGTTGAAGGTCTCAATGACTGATGTCCTGCCCTCCACCTGCCCAAAAAAAAAAAAAGTCAGATAGTCAGCGATTAGAATGTACGTACAAAATGGGAGAACTGAGGAAAGCGCACATCAGAAAAATAACAATATATAAGTTTTTAAAAAATGGGTATAGAAAAGAATCACCCCCCTTAAAATAATCAAATTTTGTTGTTTTGCAGCCTGAAATGAAGACGGACAGTTTACTCAGTGCAACTTATAACATCCAAGTGAAAGATATAACACCAACATTTCAGAAAAAAAAAACAGAATGACTGAGTTGAAAAAAGGATCACCCCCTCCTAAAAATGACTTGTAAACTCAATCAGGTGTAGCTTATCACCTTCTCAATGGCACACAAAACCATTTGACTTTCAACTGTGATGAGCTGTGGTCATTTTGTTTAGCTCAGCATGAAAAGAGATCTCCTGGAGTATGTCAGTCCTTGGTAGTGCAACTGAAGCAAACAATCAACTATGTGTGGTAAGAAACTGTCAAAAGATCTCCGGGATAAAGTTGTGGACAGGCACAAGTCAGGAGATGGATACAAAAAAATTTAAAGGCGTTATTGTGCCTAGAAGCACAATGAAGCCTATTATTAAAAAGTGGAAGGTATTTGGTAAAACACAGACCCTTCCTGGATCAGGACGTTGCTCAAAACTGGATGAACGAGCCAGGAGGAAACTGGTCAGAGAGGCGACCAAGAGGCCTACAGCAACTCTGAAGCAGCTGCAGGAATTTATGACAAAGAGTGGTCATTGTGTGCATGTGACAGCAACATCACAAATTCTCCACAAATGTGGCTTGTATGGGAGGGTTGCAAGAAAACATCTCAGGTTACGCATGTAACCATAGTTCCTCGAAGGAACGAGACGCTGCGTCGGAAAACGCTAGGGGAACGCCCTTCAGCGTGAC